GTTGCCACTTGACAAAAATGTTGTTTCCAAAGGGTTTCTCTGCTAAGATATTTCCTCCCTAGTGAAGTATCCTCATTTCTCTGCAGGAGGAGAATGTTCTTTCTACCTGGAAATGTAGAAGTTATTTTAAGTCAAGATGATTCCTTTTCGTCGGACTGGAATTTATTTTTTGCAGCATCTTCTCTAAAGTCCACTTTTAAGTGGAAATTCTCCTCGGAGTCGACATGTTGAAGTTGCAATATTGCATCGTGGTTTTTACCCAGTGATTGATAGTTCAAGTTGTCTATTCTTCAGTAAGGTTTTCCATTCCAAACAGGGGCATGTCACCCCAATATCTGTTTTGCAAGTACTGTTGGTCTTGTATGACAAGATGCATACCAACAAATGAATCAAGAAGGGTAACGTGAGGATTTTCGTATAATGTGATCCAATTTCCCCAGTGGAACTATTCTTCTTTCCCTAGTGAAGAAAGTGTCCTATCTCTCAGGTTAGGTGTACAGGAGAATTCCAGTCATAACTCTTTCGTTACCAGTAATAGAAGATTTTGTTGAGATATCCCTAGTAGAGTTTCTATCCCGGGATGTTTGTTTCTTCCCCAAGTGAGGATCTTTTACCTCCCAGCAATATTATCCCCAGTGTGGTCTGAGTAGAATTCTTTTTATTTAAGAATTTCTATACTCCCCAATAGAAGTTATCTTCGTCAAAGGATTTCTAGGCCAGAAGTTTCCATTCCCAGCAAAGCTTTCCTCTTTCCAACAGAGGAAAAAGAATTTATTCCCCGTGAAGTGGGGAGTTTGATCAGAATTCAAGATTTTCTCTGAACCGCAATTTACGTTTACAGTTTTCTTCCCAGGAAGTTACTTCCCCAGCGATATCGATCTTTAGAGGTTGGTGGTTCCAAATATCGGTTCCCCATTGAAGTACAAATTGCCTTTTCTCTACAGAAGATCAGATGTGCCAGAATAATCATTCAGAAGTTCTTTGTCTTCTCAGCAGCCGATTATTGATGGGTTTTCCTAATGCATTACTAAACATGCATCATTACATTGCATCTACCAAAACGCGTATCATTTCCCTTGAATGGAGCATTACGCTATAATTTTTTTTCAAACATGCATGAGTATAAGCCAATTGTGCTTACTTGCAGTAATCAGATTGTTATGCATTCAGATTTGAGCTATCTCCACAAGAAGCCTAGGGTGATTCTTTTTTATTTCCCTAGCTAAGGTAGTTTGATCTACCACCAGTCGAGTCTTTGGTGTTTCCCATTGTCTTAGTAAGTCGTGATTCTCTCTTACCCTTGCAAGCCTTTGGTTATATATGTCCTTTCCTCCGGACATATTTTCCCAATATTTTTGGTTATATGTCCTTTCCTCCAGACATATTTTTCTTGATATCCTTGGTTATACTCCCTTTCCTCTGGATGTATATTTCTGATATCCTTGGTTATAGTCCTTTTCTCCAGTCTCTTTCCTTTCTTACGTATCCGATACAACCGCGGATATGTATTTTTGATACCTTTTTCATATGTCTACTACCAACCCCAGACATGTGTTCTTGATATCTTTGTAAGAGCTTTCTTCGGTCTGTCTCTTTCTTACGTATCCGATACCGACCACGGATATGTATTTTTGATACCTGTCTCATATGTCTGCTACCAACCCCAGACATGTGTTCTTGATATCTTGTAAGAGCTTTCTTCGGTCTGTCTCTTTCTTACGTATCCGATACCGACCATATATATGTATTTTTGATACTTGTTTCATATGTCTGCTACCAACCCCAGACATGTGTTCTTGATATCTTTGTAAGATCTTTCTTTGGTCTGTATCTTTCTTACGTATCCGATACCGACCACGAATATTTATTTTTGATACCTGTTTCATATGTCTTCTACCAATCCCAGACATGTGTTCTTGATATCATTGTAAGAGCTTTCTTCGGTATGTCTCTTTCTTGCGTATCTGATACCAACCGCGAATATGTATTTTTGATACCTTTTTCATATGTCTTCTACCAACCTCAGACACGTGTTCTTGATATCTTTGTAAGAGCTTTCTTCGGTGTGTATCTTTCTTACGTATCCGATACCGACCACGAATATGTATTTTTGATACCTGTTTCATATGTATGCTACCAATCCCAGACATGTGTTCTTGATATCATTGTAAGAGCTTTCTTTGGTCTGTCTCTTTCTTGCGTATCCGATACCGACCACGGATATGTATTTTTGATACCTGTTTCATATGTCTGCTACCAATCCCAGGCATGTGTTCTTGATATCTTTGTAAGAGCTTTCTCCTGTCTGTCTCTTTCGTGCGTATTCGATACCAACTGTGGATATGTATTTTTGGTACCTTTTTCATATGTCTGCTACCAACCCCAGACATGTGTTCTTGATATCTTTGATGTCTCTTTCGTGCGTATCCGCTACCAACCCCGGATATGTATTTTTGATACCTGTTTCATATTTCTGCTACCAATCCCAGGCATGTGTTCTTGATATCTTTGTAAGAGCTTTGTCCGGTCTGTCTTTTTCGTGCGTATCCGATACCAACCGCGAATATGTATTTTTGATATCTTTTTCGTAAGTCTGCTACCAACCCCATACATATGTTCCTGATATCTTTGTGCGAAGCTTTCTTCGGTTTATCTCTTTCGTATCCGCTACCGACCCCAGATATGTATCTTTGGTATCTTTTTTTCGTATGTCTGCTACAGACTTGAGGCATATACATGTTGATATCTTTCTTACAGGTGTTTGTTACTAAATCCCAACAAGTGTTCCTCTATAACCAAGTTATTCTTCTATGTGTCAAACTCTGGTTAAACCTACATTTAACCTTGACAACCCCTTTCACCCCAAAAAGCAAAAGAAAAAATAGAAAATACAAAAAAACCAAAAATATAATGTATTCCTGTCTGGCTTCGGAGTGCAAATTTTTGGGTTCTTTAAGTATTTAATCTTCTTCTACCCTGAAAGTTCGAAAGGCTAACGCCAATCTCACCTTCAGATTGAAGGCGATTAAATAGGGGAACCTGTTGCACCCCAAAATTTTCCCTCCTAAATTTCTCTTATTCTGGCTTAGACTTTGCATTCATCTGCATCATTCCAATAGGTCATGTGTATAACACGCATTTTTGGATCACCGAATGTTCAAAAGATCAGCAGTTAGGGAGCTAGGGTTACAGCTGATTTGAGGTGTATGGGTTGAATAAGTCTGATTATTCAGGGTCTTCCTGGTGTACAAGACTTTGGAATTAGTGTTTTTGATCATGCTCATTCTTTTGGACTTCTTCTCCATCTAGTTTCATCAGTTCCGGAGATTAGGTTTACTTCCCTACGTCAGGCCAAAGAATCCGGGTTTCTATTCATTGATAAATGTTCAGTAATTAAAGATCCTGGGAATAAAGTTTCATGTTAATCTTGATCATACTCTTCCACTATTTTCTATGTTCATCTTTGGTAATTCAAGGTCATCAATTAGGGAAGGACTTTGTCAAGAATTGTGGATTGAATCGTGGAATATGAGTTGTGATACAAAAGGCAAGGTTGTAAATTCTTTAGGATCTAGATCTTGCTGTCTGTTCAAATTACTTATCGTACAAGTGGATTTGGATTCAAGATTGAAGTTTGGATTTAAGATTTGAATTTGAGTCGAATTCGCTATTGTGAATCACCCATCATAGTGACTACTTAGCGCCATGAGTTCATAATCTGCAAGTATGGATTGCTTGGAGTTACAAAAGCAAGGTTCATCATGATTCAAGGTTCAAGGAGTTCAATGTATTCATGCATTTCGAATTTGAATATCACAAGCTCATTCAAGTTTCAATTCACTCATCCAAGTTCAAATTTCAAGTATAACGTTCACTATTCAAGTGTTACAATGTCTAAACATCATACAAAACCATAAATCCAATCTACAAAACCATGACCATCATGGCTAAACACCATACAAAAAATACTACACAAACTTTTGTCCTAAGCCTAAAATCTCAATAGCCTAACATCTGCATGTTTCCATGTTCATGCCAAATAACCATCTTCAAAATTCTCTTTCAGGCCATATTCAATCTCTCATGCCATTTTCTTGAATTTTCCTTGAACTCAAATTTTAAGCCTTCTTATAATTATAAGCTATACCCTGTCAAGTTAACCAAATAGTTTTGCATAAATTCACATGCAGACAAACTGGTTTCCAAATTGATCATGAAGCAAAGTGGTTAAATTGGTTCATACCTGTTTCGATCTATGGCAACGATAATCCAACTGTACCTATGCCATTATAGACCTGCAGTGAGAAAATGTATAAAAATGGGAATTAAAAGTGTAAGTACAAAAGCAATCTGCAAGTTCTCAGGTTTCATATGAGACATCCCTAATGCATTCATCCAAGTTCAATGGTGCTGGCTCCGGTGACCTCCTCATCTATGATGAAGCACACAGACTGAAAAAATGATATAACAATGACAAATTGAGCATTGGTTACTCACCCACGCAAGCATAGGGTCTTGTTGTCAGGAACTCCTTTGCAGATTGACTTAGAAGATTTCTTTGCAGTGGTTAACTTCATTGATCCCAGAGTATTAGGACCCATCGTGCATTTTCGATGTTATTTTGAGGTGTCAATAATCTGAAATAGAACCTACTGCTACTGCAGAAGGGAAGAAACTCGGTGCCGAACGTACTACAGAATTAAGTCCCAAAGTTAATCAGTTCATACTTAAGGCAGACAAATGCATTGTTATCTGATCATTCAACCATCGAAGGTAGTTGAAGTTATTTGCTGCAGGTTAACTCTGCTACAGTCAGATCTATATAAACATTTATACATCCCAAAGTTATTAAGCGGGTGATGAATTAAGAGGCGAAGCAAACAAATATTTTGAGATCTCAAAAGTTATGTAATCATCCAAAGCTCACCTATGATACCATACAAAGTGGGAGTCTAGGAACTTCAGGTTTTGAAATCTGTGTTTAATTCTTCCCTCCAAATATGTCATGTGGAAGGGCTGGATCCTGGACAGGAGAACATGGAGGCTGGGTTGAGCTTTCTGGTAAAATGCAAGTCTTGCCAATATTACTTGCTCAATCATGTCAGAAAATAGATGATCGCATCTATATTCAGACTCTTGATCTTTTTGCTCAATTGCGTCGGGAACAAAGGTACCCCCATTTGAGGCTTGATGGTGCTACATCTATCAGAAAAAGATATTAGCAGAAGAAAAATCAGACATCAAAAGTAATAAGCCAACTCAATAAAAAAACGGAAATATTAGAAAGCAGAAAACCAAAAAAATAGCTAACTGAATCACAACAGAATATCCTAACAGAACTACCTCTAACCGTTTCCCAACTGCTTCCAACAGATTATAACAGTTCCATAACAAACTCCTAACATAACTCTCTAACTAACTCTAACAAATTTCTAACTATAACTAACCTATAACTAACTAAGCAGAATTTTCAACTAACTAGCTTTCACCCAATTCTGTTAATTGTTTTTAAACTGAAACACAAGGCTTAAATTGATCACAAACACAATGAGACAAAAATATTTTAGAACTAACTAACTGCTAACTATTTCCTAATTGTTAATAGAGCTAACTTCCTAAACGAATTTTTAACCTCCCAAAACCAACCTACAACCAATCGCTAACTATTTTTCTAACCTAACCAACTAAACTCCATCCAAATAATCTATAACTAACTCCCCTCTAACCGATTTCCCGGATCATCTCTTAATTTCCTATAACAGAAACTGTTTCTAACAGAACCTGGAAGGAAGTTCTCAAAAAAATCAAAAAAAGGTTTTCAGAGGGATAACAAAAAATGGGAAGAGGAGAGGGAGGAACACAATTCAGATCATCCACCATAATTTATGAGAGAAAATCACAATCAGAGAGGAGGGGGAGATATAGAGAACTCACAAAGAAAAAATGGCCGACTCTCTTTCTCTTCATCGTTACTAAGATACGATTATTCACACCGGTCATTCCCAGAAGAATCACTATCTACAAAGTATCTTAGAGCTGCAAAATTTCCTCTGCACATCATCTTCTTCACGAAGCTCCAACTGCTTCAACATATTCAAGCCAACATCTCTCAACTTTCATCATCACTAACAACTCTGCTTTTCTTTATCGTCTTCCTCAACACATATGCAGTCAAGCAACAACACCGCCCCAATCAAGAACAAGAATTCACACGATTAGAGAAATACACAAAAGTGAGGGGAAGGGGAAGAAAACAGAAACTTACCTTTAATTTCTTCATTCTTCAATTACCAAAAATATCTTAGAGCTCTAAATTTTTCCCTCCGTACTTTCTTCATCATCAATACCATAAATCTCCCCCAGACACCTTATTCTTCTTAAAAGGCAAGCTTCAATCCTCTCTCTGCAATTCTACGTCAAACATCATCGCACGCCTCCAATTGAAACTTCGATAATCCGTTTCATCGCGACTTTGTGATCTCCATCATCCTTCTGCAGCAATTCACAGAACAATGTCACAGAAGAGATAGATTTCACGATTCAAGCCGGAGGAAGAAGTAGGAAAGGGAGTATCTGGATCAAATTCATCATTATCATCACCATTAGAGGTAGGTACCAACCTTCATGTTACATTTTGATTGAATCATTGTCTTGGCAGACTTAGGTTTCATGAATCTCCTTTTTCGGTCTCACCAATTGACGAGAAATTGGAAGAATCCGTTATATGATTTGTGATCAGCGCTCAGAGGGGAGAAATCTTTATGTGGATGGTTTGTTGCTTCGTTGAGGTTTGAGACGAGCCTCCGTAGGAGAAGGTCGCGTCAGCCGCCAGAACTTGCAAGACGAGAGAGTTCTGAGAGAAAATGAGTTTGGAACACGAAAGGACACCTCCCACCGAAGCTCCCGATCTTGGCGATTTCTTCGAAATTGAGAACCGTTCGAATACAATAGTCTGATGCCATCTTTGAGTATTCGGAGAAACTATGAGGATGGTTAGAATCATAAAAGAGAGTATAATGTTTTCCGTATTGGAGTTTTACTGTTTCGGTGAACGAATCTTGGTGAATGGCATCCATGGCCGCCGTGGAAAGCGTGTATCTCGTTGGTTTCTTCACAAAGGCTGAAGAAGAGAGAAAACGCATTAGGGCTAAGCGGTGACGAAACCGTTTCTACGCTCTATTCCTTTTTTTCATTATTATTTATCCTTTTTATTTTCTAGTGTGTCAATTTTAAATCTTAATTGAAAGAGATAATGTTGTTGGATGTTGTTTATTTTGATAGATGGGCCAAATACTTGCAATGGGCCAGTAACATGCAACTTTTTCACATGTGAGACTTGAACTAAAAAAAGGGGCTTGCTCATGAGCCTTGAAAATGATGGGCCTTGCATCTAGGGTCGACTACTGACCACACCCCTGGATTACTGGCTTGTACCCCCTGAGCTTAGTAATTTCTTTTAAGTAATTGTGATAATTGTTTTGTTTGAATTTTATTCACATGATAAAAATAATAAAATTCAATAAAATTTGTTAGTTTTCGATTCTGATTTTTAGGAATTAAATCGGGATCATCCAATTATTTGAGATTTGTAATTCACCTTTGCTTGTTAGGATTTGAGTCTTATGCAGGTTCATTGTGCGATACGCGGATATGCTCAAGATTTCGATTGTGATTTAGTTTCACATCTATGGTGCTTCGACATTTATCTTGAGCATTTAATTTCAGAATCTTTTCTTTGCTTGGTGGAGCCTACTCGAAGTTTTCCGGATATCTTTGTTTTGATATGCATTGCTATAGATTGATATCTGTTTGGTATTTTCTCTTGTTTATCTCATCTCGCACTTCATAGCTTTCTAAAAATCATGAGAAGTAAGGCTTTACCGCAAACCATGCATGCTAACTTAGGGTAAATATTTCCCTTCAAAACTCAACCATAGGACCACCATTGTATGATAACATTAGGGATAGATTTAGGCTAGTCTCCCTTAGATGTTTTTTTCTTCCTTTTGCATATGCATTTAAAACAAAAACTTATTTTGCTTACAAACCTCAAAATACTTAAAACTTTACTGACGAGAATCATATCTTTGTTAATTTTGAAAGATGATAAGCGGGTTTCTTCTCGACCTTATTATTCTCTTATTCTAATCTTTGGCATGGTTCAAATCTCAAAGACCTATTTCACGAATAAGTAGAGAAATGGTTAATATCTCTCTCTTGAGATTAATTAGCTGTTATCCACAAGCAAAAACACCAACCAACACAAACTCTTTTTGCCTTTGGGATTTTATTTCAAACCCTTTTTCAAAAGAGCATGTTAATTCACTTCTGTGCTGACGCGTAAGTCTCCAAAGGTCGAGTTACAGTAGAAGGCAAAATTAATATTGTTCATAAAAAATGCAAGCCAATTCAACCCTTTTCGTGCGCCCAAGCACCTTTTCTCCAAAACTTCTTTTCAAAAGAGCATGTTAATTCACTTATGTGCTGACGCATAAATCTCCAAAGGTCGAGTTACGGCAGAAGGCGAAATTAATATTGTTCCTTAAAAAAATACAAACCAACAAAAACATATGAGCCGAACTATGGCTGCTCTGATTCCTTAAAAGGGATACGTAGGCACTGGGGTAGGGCCCAAGAGAGTATAATTTTATTTTCCCTACATTCTTTTCTCCTTTATTTTGCATGCATTCTTCCTTCAGTAGTATAGTAAACAATAAGGATAGATTAAACACACCCATAAGATAGACAACAAGAGTGGATACCGTAGAGTACTACGGGCGCGTGAGGTGCTAATTCCTTCCCCTTGCATAACAGACTCCCTTACCCGATCTCTCGGTCGCAAGACCGTGACTTCTCCCTTCTCAGGTTTTCTCGATGTTTACCTTTCCCTTCCTGTGGGATAAAAAAATGTTCGATGGTGACTTCATTGTTTGATGATTTTCAGCCGGTTGTTTCAAAGAGCATCATCGAAGGTTTTTTTTTTCGAACCATGGAAATGTATGTTATTCGAAGCATTACAAGGAAGACACACTTCGACTAACATGTTGTTTGAATGGGCGCTTAGAGTAGAAGAATATTTTGAATTCGAAAGATTTTATCTTATCCAAAGAAGCACGTGGAGGTCTAATGGTTTGAAGGACATGCAATCTTCAAACATGGCGTGATCGAAGGACAGTTAGGGATGAATCAACCAAATATAAGTCACCTTAAAGCTTTTGGCATGTACCTGAACAGGTGTTGGATGATTGAAGTGAAATCCTGATGCTCATAGGTTACCTTTCGATTGGTGCATACAAGTTGTATTCACCAATCAAAGGTGAACTAGTGAGAAATAAAGATATTCTTGTAGACAAAAGAAAAGTGTGAGATTGGAATCAAAGACACAGCCACAACTGTGTTCGAAGGAAAGAATAGAACAAAGCTTAAACAAGCCAAGTTGAAGAATTGATACTTCGACTAGTTGAATCGAAGAGTCACAACTGTCACAACTTTTTTCGAAGGAAAGAATAGAGTGAAGCTTCGATAAGGCAAGACGAAGAGGTGATACTTCGATTAGTCAGGAGATCGAAGGGAACAAGAACCATTCAATTAGGATGATGTTCCCAGATTACACAATTGAAGTAGATGGTGACTTAATCGAAGAAGTCACGATGATGAGGCCTTGAGCAATTCGAATTGGAACCCAGAGCCATCGAAAATAAAAAAGGATATGGAAGTCGAAGAACCAACCATAACATGTCTAGGTTCATTGTGCTTCAAGAATGGCAATAAAATTATCAAAATGGCAACTTTCCAAATATTTTGATTCTTGCTTTCAAAGCCATAGTTAATGGCTGATTCATGCCATTTTTTTTCACCACTACACCCTATAAATACAAGGCCAAAGTGAAAGCAAAAGGAGGAGACAGAGAGGTTGCCTGAAAAAGCCAGACCAAATTCTCAAAATCTTCACAAAGTTGTCATAATCGAAACAATCTTTGCAGGCCTCCTCACTCCAAAAACAACATTCCACTCACTCCTTGAAGGTTCCAGGAGACGCTTCCAAGCATTAGGCAGGTCCAACACACGCAGGAGCATCACTCACACAATCCCTTCGTTGGTAACTTGTCTTGGATCTCAAACTCGTTTAACCTTTAATCTAGGTCTCTTTCAATTGCATATTCATGTTATTGTCATTATTTATGAATGTTTTGACATTATTCATGTGAGTTTCAGTGCCCAAAACACAAAATGCCATTGCTAGGGCGTTCAAAATTGGTTCCTTCGAATCTAAAGATTCATGGTGTTTCAGGATAAAATAGCTTCAGATTTGGACTCAGGGGTTCAAATTAGGTGGGGGTTCAAATTAAGGGGAAGGACTTGGGTTCGACACCCAGGTCATGTTGTTGCACCCCAAAATTTTCCCTCCCATTTTATTCAGGGCATGCTCATTAAGGTCCTCATTTTCTCAAGGTTGAACAAGAATTGATCAGACAAATTCTCCCCTTAAGCAATGGGTTTCCATCTAAAGTTTCACCTCTCACAAAGAATTTTGGTTTGCAAGGGCTTCAAATGATTTTCATGGCACTATATAGGCCTCAGTATAATGGCATAGCTGAAAGAAAGAGAAGAAGTGTGCATGAAAAAGTGTAGGTCGAAGGCTGAAAATATGCCTAAGGGCTTTTGGGTCGAAGCAACTTCGACGACAGTATGCAGGCTAATTTGAAGGATCGAAGGAAAGCTAATTCGAAGGGAAATGTGAGGAGGATTTTAAGGAGTCTTCGATTGAAAGAGCTAATAAGGAGCTTCGAAGGGTTCGTTTTCGAACCACTGAAATATAAGCTATTCGAAATATCCAAGGAAGGCTGGATCGAAAGAAAGCGCATGAGGAGGCTTTTTCTAAAGTCTTCGATTGGAAGAGCTAGTAAAGGCATCCAAGGATGTTGTTTTCGAATCATGGAAATATAATCTATTCGAATCACTACAAGAAAAGACCTTTCGATTGACACGTTTGTTTGAATGGGCACTTTGAAAAGAAGAATATTTTGGAATAAAAAAGCTTTTACTTTATCCAAAGAAACATGTGGAAGGCTAATGATTCAAAGGACATGCAACCTTTAAATATGGCATGATCGAAGGAAAAATAGAAACGAGTCAGCCATATATGATTCATCTTGTAGTTTTAGGATCAATATGCCTCAGGCATGTGCCTGAACGTACAAGGGAGTTGGGTGATCGAAGGTGCTCATAGGTTATCCTTCGATTGGTGCAATATAAGCTATATTTACCAATCGAAGGTAAACTAAGGGTCAATAAGGATGGCTTTGTAAACGAAAAACAAAAGGTAGGATTGGAGTCAAAACTGTGTTTGAAGGAGGTGAACAAATGGAAACTCCAAGAAAAGGAAATCAAAGAGAATAAGAATGGAGTTTGACTATGAGAATTTTCCAGGTCAAACAACCAATGTAGGTGGACTCAATCGAAGAAGCCATGAGGATGAAACCATGAGAAAATCGAAGGAAGCCACTCAGAGCCATCGAAGAACAAGGCTCGAGGGCATTCAATAGAGTCAAGATGAGAAACCTGTCCAGGTTCATTCAAAACCCAAAAGGGTAGAAAATCATAAAAAAAGGCAACCTTTTAAGGCTCTCGATTCTGCCTTCAAAGCCATGGTTAATGGCTGATTCTTGCCATTCTTGTTCACCACTGCGCTCCTATAAATACAAAGCTAAAGAGAAAGCGAAAAGGGCAGACACAAAAACATTGCCACTAGAGACAAACATTTTGCCAGACAGACACACACGCATCAGCCAGACGAAACATTGCCTCCACAGACGCATTGCCTATACATAAGAAGATGCCCCAGAAAACCATACCAAATTCTTAAAATACATTAAAGCTGTCAAAATCGAAACACACCTTACAGGATCTTCCAGTCCAAACGAATACGAGCCCTCCTCGACGCTTAAAGCATCCTAAAACAAGTAGATCTCGTTGCTCCGGTTGGGTAAAATTCTCACGCTCTAATCTTTCTGTTCATGCAATTTAAATAGATTTGATGCATATATCCATATTCATATTGTTGTTTATATTTTTTTTGACATAGCACATGTAAGGATTAAGGCAGGAATCAAGAAACACCATTGTTAGGATAGCCTGCGAT